ACACATGAGGATAACACCACAATTAACTCTGGTAAGTGTTACAATGTCATATAGTTCCAAAAAAAGTCAAGAAGCATAATTTTATGAATGTTCGACTGAATAAAAAATAGTAAAAGTCTCGGTGCAATTTTTGGACAATCATTCACACCAGCAAATACATTGCCTAGTTGGAAACATATTAATTTGTATGTTTCAGATGACAACTACGCATACGATACTGGCAACAAAACAATAACATTCCGGGGATCTGGTTCTCCTTCGGAATGTTTCAGGATTTTATCAAAGTTTCTTAAGGAGGCTCACGACACTTGTTACCCAAAGCCCTGTGCAATTGGTTCTGTCTATCAACCCTCAGTAGGTACCGACAAATTCTACGCCATTGGAGCCTATGCTTATATTACAGCCACACTAAACGCTACAGACTCTTCTGGGAGACTGGATATCGAAAAACTTAACAAAACGGAGCATTTGTATTGTACTAAGGTAGGTCAAGTCGGGTGCTGTAAGTCAGTTATTATGTTTAGATCTTATGTTTTTCATTCGCACTGAAGAGATAGAAACAACAAGCTAATGTACATCGATAAGAGATTTTGAGTTGATTAGAATTAATTGGGCTAAACAGTTATTGTCAACATATGTTTGGAGATATTGTAGAGGAATATATCCCGTGATGGATTTCATCAGTGCAACATATTAAATTGCAACAAAGCACAATGATCTAACTAAAGATTAGGACTATTTTAAAACTCAAAAACTGCTCTTTTTTCACTTTTGAATTCACTTTTTTTGGTTTATGTTTTTCAGACTTTTAGACTATGTGGTGTCTGCATACAAAGTAACATCGGAGTTTGTTTCAGTCACGTGTATGACGGGGCTCTACATGGTCGAGTTATTCACCTTCTCCTATGTGTTTCCGATGAACACAGAAAGGATCTATTCTGTTTTAAAAATCAATGGAAACCCACTCGGTGAGGCTTTGACATCTGGCATTGAAATCCGTTCTACAATTCAAAAATAAATAAATAAATAAATGAACAACTTTTTTAACGATAAAAAATGAAAAAAAATTATAATTTAAAAGAAAGCCAAAACACCTGCATTCAAACAAAATTTGGTATTATTTGTTGTTCTGAGTGCGAAAGCATTCGAAATGAATATTGAATTCTTCATATTTTTGTATTTTCAGTTTGGACATTTGGCGCGGTGCTGTTCGAAAATGAACTGATGGCCAAGGTCTACCCCTGTGCCTCAATACCCTTCCCGTCCAGTGCAGGGGTATCAAAACAAATCCTCAAACTGAAGTGGCTTTTCATCCTTTCTGTGTTCTCATTTTATATTTTTATTTGACAGATTCGAACATTAATGTTTAACGTAATTTTTGTACATAAAACAATCACATGACTCTATAATCATGATAATTATGAACTGAAATCTTATGATATTTCTTATCCGATTCGATATAATCGATGGTGCTTTGTTTTCCGTCCGATTCTGAAACACTAATATGAATTTATTTATATGCATGTAAACTGGTATACGAGTGTATGTCTTTTGTTATGTTAAGAGAATAAAGGAAATACATTCACCAAAACAACGATATTCACTCAATGTGAAATGTTAAGGTTTTATCAAAGGTCAACATGTCAAAATTATTTTTACAATAGCTCCTAAACCACCTGGTATGTGGTTTATAAAGTTAAAAATAAAGTTACAAAGATGAAACTTTTACAGTTTATAAATATATCATTGATTAACAGATAGAAAGTACCACTTGAACACAAACACTGAATAAAAATATATATATCGAGAAAAATTCTTAATAAAAAAGCCTATATTGTTTTATTTTAAAGATACACTTTATTAATTCCGCACTTTTAGTGAAAACCATCATTGCAGAAAAAATATAAATGTTTATCAATTAAGGGCAAGTTGGACTTCAATAGCCTCTAGGAATTTTTTTTCATTGTTTATTTTGTCCAAATGTTAAGATTTGAAACCGAAAGTACATTACAAATGGCGGATTTTATAGGGGTCTTGTCTTTATTTATACATGTCATACTTTCAATAAGAGCCTTCAAAGACCATTCACGTACAGCTTGCCCTTCTTTGATAAAAGTGATACTTTATATCTGTTAAACAATGATATACTAGTATTTATAAACTGTAAAAGTTTTAACTTTATTCACATTGTTTTGGAGCTATTGTAAAAATAAAATTTTGGAAATACTGACCTTTGATGAAACTTTAAAAGGTAGTTGTTTTTTTATCTTTCATTTATCTTATTAATTCGCACAAACTTGTACTTTATGAATAGCTTCAGGTTCCAAAAACTATTACATGACCTTTAATATACTTAAATTACACACGTACGCGGTATTTTTTAATCGATGTTAACAATTTATCCTGAAATATGAAAAGTATCCCCCAATCATGTTCAGGAGCAAACGACGAGTGTGACCGGTCTGCAAGGAATGCTTACTCCTTCATGGCACCTGATCCAAACTCTGAAGTTTTAGAGGTACGTGCTTGCTCTACCCCTGATTTGTGTTGTTTTAATCGATTCATCATCATAAGGGAGAATCAACACTAATTTTCTATCCCTTACATGTAGCCATCGTAAGAAATATTATTTGTTCCAAGCACATACTCATTTTAAGAATGTCTTTTCATCTTAACATATTCTCAACAGCATTATTAATTTCATCAACATGCACATATTGAATAACAGTTTGGTTGAGTTGTCAAAGCTGATTTTTTCAGCATTTACCGCTCTTTAACTATACCAACATACGTTTTCAACAAAAATATATTAAAAATTTTATTTCATCTTAAAGTTATTGAAACTTTTCTGGCAAAACATTATAACTAATGACAAAGCAACTCCACCTTCCCTTTTGAAAATATGTAAAGAATTCTTTCATCATATTGTGAAAATGACAAAATCGAATTTCGCGTACGGTAAATATTTTTGGCATTTCTCTCCCTCTATATATTAATTCCGATACTTTTGGAGAATGTTTAAGTTCACCTATTAATTCCATTTATTGGACAGTTATTCCTTAAATGAAGTACATTTCCTATTTGTAATTTTATCTCGAACAGAGACATTGGAAATGTAAATATCATTATTATTATTATATGAAATCGCATGCGTTACAGGAATCCCTGAGTTACATTAAAAGTTTCAAAATTTTCATTGTAAACTTACTACATCATATACATGTAGAGTGTAAAACTGTTATAGATAAGTTTAAATGAATCATTTTTTTAAAACTTTTAATGTAACGCATGTAATGATCATATAATATCTGCTAGGTAAAGTTATCAAACTGAATTACCCGGTAGGCCTCACAATATTTATCTTATCAAACTTAATATATGCAGCATATTCCTTTGCTACAAGTAGTGCAAAAGCGAACCCCTCGCATAGGTTTAACAGTATTTGTCAAAAAAGCCTTGAACATATTATGGTGAATCACAAAAAATAAGACACAAATACATTGCTTCATGAAAATGATACTAAAAGGTACAAATTAAAACCAATTTACTTCTTCGCTTAAAAACTGTTCACTTTCCATAACAAAATCTGACCTAGAGGTAGCCATTATAAACAACACCAAAGCCCTCAAATTTCCATAGGAATTTAATCTGGAATTATAGCGAATTATCTTATTTGTTGATCCATTATCAGTCTAAATATTGTCTCTATTATGAATGAAAAATGGCTTCATCTGTTATCATGGTAAACCAGGTCAATCACTATACATGAGGACTTTTTGAAGCCTTACTATTATTATTAATTTTATCATATTAATTATCATATGTTTAAATTGTGAATAGATAAATTACAATAATAAAAGTTGATATATAAGTACTGCAATCTTATGATGATCAGCTAATATTCTATAAATGAAATCGTCACCAAAATATCGATCCATGCATCGACACATGTTGAACATACACTGTAGATTGAACAAGAATGGAAATTTTATGATCACATGAAATTAAAAACCTCACAAAACTAGTGATACTTTATATCCCATGATTAATAGGAAAATTTTAATTTTTTTTACTTAAACATTTTATTTGAAAATGTTTGAGATGATATGTTTGAAATAAATTCATCAAAGTTTGAAATGTTCATTTCATGGTCTGAATAGAATTTATCTACAAAACCTTGTTTCGTGTCCTCTATCCTCCGAAGCACATTTCATGATCTCTTAATGATTCCCAGCTGCTGTTAACCATTTTCATGATTTTCTTTGTTGGACAATACCTTAAATCTGGGGAATAAAAATTATTTTTGCGAATTAGCATTCAAAATACTATGTATTAGTTTTCATGAACTGTTCACAAACATTTCCTATTGAATGTTCATTGCAAGGAGCACACGGCTGGTGTAGCTGGTTGACAGGGAACGTTTTCTCCTCAATGGCACTTTAACCCACCTCTGTTTTTCGTGGTTCTATTTGCTCTGCTTCAAATTGCGAGCTTGATAATTGTTTGTTATATCCATGTTTAAATTAAGCAATTCTCAAAATTGGTTTATACTTAAAGTTTGTTGATACTCAGAATTCCTGACACTAATTACAATTCCTGACACCCAGAAATCCTAACAATATAAATCCTGACAAGTGAATTACTGACAATCTCTTATAATGTAAATCATTGATAATCTTCACATATTTACTGCTGATAAAGCAGTCTTTGTTATAAGAGTTATCTCCCCTTTTAATCCCATTTTGGTTATAGATGTATACCTAGAACTTTATGCTAAGTTAGACTCATGAAACCCTAACAAAATGGCGTGTGTTGGTAAGGGGACTAACACAGTTTTGAGCATCAACTTTTGACTTGTTTATAAGTTTGTGATAAGATTTAATAAACAGTTATAAAGAACACATGGAGTTTCTGTGTAAAAGTTAATATCTACGGTGGAAATAAAGATTAAGGCCAGCCGCCTGTTACAATACTGGGATTATGAAATTGATAGGTATAATCATTGCTGCTGCGTGGTTGCAAAATTCTGCAGACAGAAAAAAATCTTTCTGCTTACGTATTGGTAAAGAAATTTTCTTGCTGGATTTTAAAATTCTAAAGCGTAAGTTAATATACAAAATTAATGTATAACGAAAGTATAGTATACAGTCAAATTGTAAAAAAAAGACTTTCATACTTTAAAAATAAATCTTTAAATTTTATTTCATTAATAACAAGACAGGAATTACGAATTAAATTTTCATAAAAAAAATAGAAAAAAAATAAAGGAAAAAAAATTACGCCCCATTTTGCAATTAAAAGTGATTTCATCAAAATGTCAAATACTAGTATTCTATAGTGTTAGATTTCTTGTGAATTTCAGTCTTCATTGAAACTTTCACAATAAAACTTTGCTGCTGTTTTAGAAATTATGGGGCGCTAAAATCATTTTTAAAGGGATTTTGATCATCGACCTATACGCAGTGATGAAAAGACCGCATTGATTTTAACATTAAAAAATATTTTAAAGTAAATTTCACCAATTGGGTCACTTAGTTCTTTCTGGATAAAAGAATATGAATATATTGTGACCAGTCGACAGGGGATGCTCACTCCTCCATGGCACCTGATCCCACTACTTATGTTTTGGAGGTCCCTGTTTGCTCTGCTCCTGTACTGTATTGTTTTATGGACTTTTGATCTCGAATACTGTTTGTTATCTGCGTGTGTCATTGTAAATATTTCAGAACATGACACATATATAAAAATATTTACATTTCCAATGTCTTTGTCTGAGATATAATTACAAATAGTATTTATTTCTTCATCAGTGTACTGGTTCATCGATAGGCGTGGTTTTAAAAAATCAGGGCGGGACAAATAGAGACAAGAAGCAGGGCTTCTAGCACGTGGATTGGCGGAATCAAGGACATGTAAATATAAGGAATAACTGTCAGATTTTTCAATTTCATGACAATGATCAACCGATTGGCTTGCATGAAAATTTTATACATAAACACCTTTGGCGGCTGATATTCTTATTTCATCAACTTGCTTGTCAATAATTCACCTCGTTTTAGAAATTGTACATAGGTAGAGCATGCTCTTGCGTATCGAACTAACTGAGATATATACACTCCGTATGTAGGTGATGAAGGTATATTGCTGCATGAGTAAGGGAAGTTGATGATTGATGTTTATCATAAAGCTTGGTTGTTAGATTACCATTAACGTCTTTTTCAAGTAAAATTTTCATATATGAAACATATGTGTCAGACTCTGTGGTATCTTTTATCTCAAGTTCATCGGAATATATCGTATTGACATAAGAATGGAGATAACCATTATAAATTGACAATACGTCATTGATATACATGTATCACAATGTCGAGTTGAAGGTCACAGCAAGTGTTTTCTTCTTTTCACGTACATGTATTTATAAGATTTTGGACAAATTCTGCTTCATATGAACACATATTAATAACAAGACCAATTGGTACACATGGGAATTCCAATAGATTGTTGGAAGGACTGGTCAACTAAAACCACATACATTGTAGATAAAAATTGTGATTCAGAAACTCAAGCATCTTTTTTTTACCAACTTCAGAGTAATTGTGTGTACTATTAAATGATTTTTAACAAAATAATTTTGCAAATGATCAATGACAAGGTGTCAGAAATGAAGATACTTAAATCATACTGTCTGATTTTATTGGAAAAGTCGTTGATAATTTTGCCTTTATCGTGATGATACATGCAGTGATTCAATCTGTTTGAAAAATTAAAACAAATTTATACACTTTTCTCGAGAAAAGTCTGGAATGCGATGCATACACATATTTCTGGATCATTCTTTGCAAGTTCATTCCATAATAAAATGATAAATCATCTTTAAAAAACGATTAAACATAGCGCAATACGCGGGTTTCGAGATTGTAACTCTCCTACGACAGAGGCGCAAAACGTATCCATTTCAGCATGGAGGTGGGACAAGTTGTTTCTGTACACAAAAATGCATATATAAATGAACGATGTTTATGGCTTTTAAAAATTATTTTAAGTTATAGAAAGATAATAATGTTAGGAGTGATGCATTTTATGATTTTATCAAGCTCAACTGTGTATATTTACAAATCTACTTTCATTTATAGGGTACTTGAAAACGAAATAAACGTCGTGGTCTTTATAAAAAGTAAAAGATTTTCTTGATTGTACAAACATTTTCTAAAAAGTAAGTGGGTTCTTTGAAGTTATAAGGAAAATAATCAATGTGTCATTTAAATTGCCGACGTGCAATGTTCAGATGCATGTGTACTGTATTTATTAGAGGTCCTTATCTCTCTTCCCTCGTCTGAAAAGTCTCACATCCACTGATATTTTCTTTTTTGTTCCGATTTTTTAGCTTAAAAAAAGACGCTTTTACATTAATTCGGTTACTCTTGAGTTGAAAAGTGCATCTTTACAATTATATAGTTATGAAAATTCAGTATATTGATAATGCGATATATCCAATATATAAATAACTGTCCCACTTGTTTGTTTACGCGGCAACGAAACCCCCCTCCTCAACGAAAGAGCGCACCAAGGGAGAAAATCTCGAAACTTGCGTATTGATAATGGAGTTTGTTAAACAGCAATCATGCTCAAAACAAGTTTTTTTAAAAAATATAATATGTATTAAATAACGATGGTAAGAATATCGCAAATGACAAAACAAAATAAAAGATCTGAAGAGTAGTGATTGTTTAATAAAAATGAATTCTGAAAATATCAGTTATTTTCTTTGGTGTCATCTTTAAATACATTTTTTATACCTTGAATTATTCCTCAGAACATTTAGTCTTAATATCAACAATTAATTGTTATTAAGTGTCAAAATTTATATCTAGCAAAACTTTTACCGCATTGGTGAAACTTACTAGACAAACTCCCTTTCCTCCCTTCAAATGCAATTTTAAAATTTAAATCAAGTATTTTCAAAATCATCATTGCTTTAAAAAAAAAAAGAAAACCATCCATGTACAGGTAATTTTCCCTAATCTAAATGAACATGATTTCTGAACTTGTATGATAAAGTTGAGATGAACATTTTTTGTTCTATTTCAGAAAATGCCCACATGTGTCATTTTCATGGTTGGCCTCTTCTTGGCAGACAGAGCATGCGCAATGACATTACATTATAGTGTCATGATTGATGCAGGGAGTTCCGGTACACGAGTCAGAGTGTATTCATGGCCTGATAGAAGATCAACTTTCTCAACATTTAACATCACTGAAATATTTTCTAAAAATATAAAGCCACCGTTGAGTTCATTTCAGAATAAATTAGATTCGGTTCCGGAATATATTAGTAACTTGACCTCAATCGCCGAGCCAGAAGTACCATATCATGTTCATAATAAAAGTCACCTGTATTTATTTGCAACTGCAGGTAATCAACATACATAAGCAATTAGCCATCTTATGCAAAAAAAGTCAATTTGAGCATTTCTTTTTATCATTAAAAACAAATCCAGTTCGAACTCTTTCCTAGGTCTTCGATTTCTAAAAGAGGGAGAAGCTAGGAACTTGATGAATACAGTGAGACGTATTTTGTCCGACAGAAGAATCAACAAATTCATTTACAGCGAAAGGAGCGTCCGAATTCTCTCTGGCGAAGAGGAGGGCGTGTTCGCTTGGATTACTGCAAACTACCATAATGGATTCCTCTCCTCTAATAAGTGATAATCTTATTTATATAATTCAAACCACAAATATAATCATCAAAAATCAAATTTAGTTCCTGTGATATTAAGTTTGCAATATATTTCTGTATTTTCTAGGTCCCTGTCCCATGGTGTTGGTGTGCTAGAAATGGGGGGCGGATCCACACAAATCACCTTTCTACCAGATGGACCTCTCTTAGCTCACATGTTTACAATCCGAATAGCGGGACGAATTTACAATCTCTACTCACACAGTTATCTAAATTTTGGAATGGATTATATGTATAGAAGAATCAACAAATATCTTATCCAACAAAATCCACATTACACAAGGATCACAAACCCGTGTGCACTGACAAGTAAGGATGAAGAAAATTAATATTCGGGCATCTGAATTTAAAAATGATAAGCATTTTCATATTATTATTTTTTTTTAGAAATGTACGTTGGATGTACATAACTTTTTCGACTTTTAACCATGCCATATATTTAAGAGTCTGTTATTCATCAACCCGTACATCTGTTACGCTGTTGGTGTTTAAATCTTAATTCAGACAGGTTCGATTCGAACAACAAGTAACAAAGACACATTATTTTGTATATGTGTTTTAATCTCATAAACGATCTCCAAAAACTCCCCCTGCCACACTGATTGCAATAAAACTTGGTATACAAACAGATAATGAAAAGATTTACACAAAACAATACATTTTAATTCCATTCTTCAAGGTCTGATTCCAGTTGTACATACATGAAACACTGGATACACAAGTAGACAATACCATAAGTAAGTCTGGAAACTGTATACATCTAGTTCCAGAAAATGTCAAGATGCATAATTCTATGAATGTTAGAACTGAATAAAAAATAGTAAAAGTCTCAAACTATCATTCACACCAGCAAAATTTATACTTTGTTTCATTGGAAATTTGTATGTTTCAGATGACAACTACGCATACGACACTGGAAACAAAACAGTAACATTCCAGGGATCTGGGTCTCCTTCGGAATGTTTCAGGATTTTATCAATGTTTCTTAGGGAGGCTCAAGACACTTGTTATCCAAAGCCGTGTGCGATAGGTTCTATCTATCAACCATCTGTGGGTTCCGACAAATTCTACGCCATTGGAGTTTATGCTTTAGTCGCAAACGATCTCAATGCTACAGACTCTTCAGGGAGAATTAATATCGATAAACTTAACAAAACAGCGCATGCGTATTGTACTAAGGTATGTCAAGTCGGGTGCTGTAAGTTAGTCATTTTGTTAGACCATATGTTTCTTATATTCGCATGGAAGATACAGTCTGAACAAGCTAATGGATTAGATATTAATCATTACACTGCAACATTATACATTTATTGACTGAGTTTGAGGGCAACATGCGTTTTGTCGGACCCAAGAACCAAACTGTCTGACTGAGGTCGTTTGGTTCGAAGGCCGACAAAACGCATTTTGCCCGAGGACATAGTCAATAAATGTTTTGTTATACCTTTCATTTCATTATTTTTTACATATATGTATTTTGTACTGCCTTCCGTAATGTAACCTCCATCACTAGATTAAGCCCCGCCCATTCTGTGACGTAATCGGTCCAACGTCTCACTTAGCGGTCCAACATCGATTTTTTTATGCCTGCTCAGCAAAACATTAGAAATGTTTGACTTTTTTCGTAGATGTTTTTGAAGGTATAACAAAGAACAATGATCTTACTAAAGCTTTGCACTATTTGTTTTAAAATTTAAAAAAAATTGTAATTTTGTATGATTTATCAATTGGTATGTTACATTTTCCTACTTATAATTAAAAAAAAAAAATTGTTATATCTTTCTTCAAGACTGCAAAACAAGGCTAGAATTGATAACTTCACATCCTTCTCTTAATAAGAAATATTTTTCAGACTTTAGACTATGTGGTATCTGCATACAAAGTAACATCGGAGTTTGCTTCAGTCACGTGTATGACGGGGCTCTACATGGTCGAGTTATTCACATTCTCTTATGGGTTTCCTGTGAACACTGAAAGGATCTATTCTGTTTTAGAAATCAATGGAAACCCACTCGGTGAGGCTTTGACATACGGCATTGATTCCGTTCTACAATTCGAAAAATATAAATGAACAAAATTATTAACGATAAAAAATTTAAAAAATGTAATTTATAACAAAGCCAAAACACCTGCATTTAACTAAACAAAATCTGGTATTATGTTGTTATGAGTTCAAGAGCAGTTTATATGAATATTGAATTCCTGTCGATACTGTTGTATTTTCAGATTGGACATTTGGCGCGGTGTTGTACGAGAATGAACTGTTGGCCAAGGACTATCCCTGCGCCCCAATATCCTTCACTTCCAGTGCAGGGGTATCAGAACAAATCCTCAAACTAAAATGGCTCTTAATCCTTTCTCTGTTGTCTTTTCATATTTTTATTTGACAGATTCGAACATACAGTGTGTTTCAGAAAACATGCACCCATTTTCATTGAATTATATTTTACTGATGTTTTAACCAATACAATGAACCATCATATTAAATCAAAAGTCACCATTTCAAGATTTATTCTTATGAAAATATAACAGAGTTAATATGGCAAATAGATAATGAATTAAAAATGAAAAAAAAGAAACTTGTAAGTTTTACTTATTAACAAAATATGTTCGAAATGGCATCATTTTTGCTGAATGATGCAAGAAAGTTCTCATTACTAGTGCAAAGTCTCTTGGTAATGAATGAGGTCTTATTTTTCGAATTATTTTGATTTCATTTGTTGTTTTGTCGTGTGTTTTATAAACTGTGACCTCTAAATATCCTCACAGATAAAAGTCAAGGAGATTTAGGTCAGGTGAGAGTGGAGGCCCAATTTAATGGACTTGAATGAGTTGAACATTTGTTTTAACCAGCCCAAGGTTTTAAGATTCAAAACATATATCGGCATTCGATATACATTTGACTTGCTCAATTTTGAGTCACATTTGTTCACAGGCTCAGTTAGTTTGCTGAAGGATTTCATGTGAGTCTCTAGAACCATGCCTCTGTTGTAACATTCAAAATATGTTCGTCTTCTTATTGTCTTTTCATCCAATATTTCCTTTTCTTCGATCGTGCATTGACTCTTCTATGAGCTTCAAAATTTTACAGATTTATTGGCCTACAACTTTCACCTTATATTACTAAGTAAGTCTTTTGCATTCTGTAAACCTTATTTTCATTGTCCTAATTACATGAACCGGTGGCATGCTTTCTTAAAGCAGTTTCGGAGCTTGTGATGATTGCTTCTTATTAAATTTCATACATGTATCAAGAATGAAATTATATGGGTTTTTTTTCAGTGATGTCAAATATGACGTCATAATTAATTCAATTGATAATTATTTCCAAATTTTTGTTATCAGTAAAAAATTTAAAAGTCATTTTAGCATAATTCTAAATAACATTTTCATATGTTTCTGTTTGCATATCAATAGAGTGAGGAAAGTAAAAGGTTGCATGTTTTCTAAACACCCTTTGTACGTAAAACAACCACATGACTCCATGATTATGAACTGATATCTTATGATGTTTCCGATTCAATTCAATAATCGATAGTGTTTTGTTTTCCGTTCGATTCTGAAACACTAATGTGAATTTATTTATATGCATATATTGTATAGTATACGAGTGTGTGTTTATTGTTATGTTAAGAAAATAAACGAAATGCATTCACCCAAACTACGGTATTCACTTGTGTAATGTTAAAAGGTACATTTAAATTTAGTACTTTCTCAGCTTATTCCATTTAAAACAGTTCTGAAAACTGCAGGAGATATATCATCTTAGGTAAATAATGTACCAAATAACAATATTTTGTATAGAAACGCCTGTAAAGTTCATCAAAAGGTATTTTCTTTAAAATGATTTTAAAAATTCTTACATTTGTACATTTGAAAATTTCCATCTTGAAAATAAGTACAAAACGTAACGTGTACTTTTGAATTAACCCTCGTATAATTCTAATGCATTTACAGGGTACTTTTATTTTGCATAATATGCATGTAGTAAACATTGTCTCCGCTTGCAGTTCTCAAGATGGGAACTTTAATATTTCACAGCTCAAATGTATACATTTCAGATGTGTGCATATTACAAATGTACATAAACTTTGATCTCTGATCTTTTTTAAAGGTAAATAAAATTATTTATTTTATTTATCTATTTATTTTTTGTTGCAAATTATATTGCATAAAAGATACATCATTTGTCAAGATAACCTATCACAAGAAGGTACTTATTATTTTGTAGATAATTTAAACATAAATTTTCAAAATTTTACATAAAAATGTGTAAACTTCTTACTTACCATGGATGTCAGTTATCTGTGTTCTCTTGCATTATAATATTTGGAAATAAGATACGCAATTTTTTTCAAATTACAAATTTTACATTATTATAAAGGGAAATCAACACTAAATTTCTATACTTTAGCTATCGTAAGAAATATTATTTGTTCCCTGCATATACTCATTTTCAGAATGTCTGTACATCTTAACATATTCTCAGCGGCATCATTAATTTCATTAACATGCACATACTGAACAAATGTTTTGCTGAGTCGTCTTTTCTGATTTTTTTCTATAGCATTTACCGCTCTTAAACTATACAAACATACGTTATCAATAATAAACTGAACTCATCTTGCTTGGCGCATAATTATTAAATGGTGGGAGCACTAAATATCAAAGAAGTGTTTACTACTTGTAAAGAGCATTAGGGATCATCCTGAGACACCATTGGACTTTTTGCAACAAAGGTATTGTTGAAGTTGTAAAGTATACCTTTAGGATATTTTGTTTTCTATTCAAACTCCTGAGACGTGCAATGTCCTAAGAGGTTACTGTTAGATGGACATTAATTCCCACTTTTTCTCGATCAGCTGTTCGGAGTGACCTCTTTCATTATTACCTTTAAATATATTCCCATGATTCACGAGAGAGAAAGTTTCATACAAAGGTAAGATAAAATATATATGCATGTTTATTGTGATATCGGTTTTTCCTTTCATCTCTTTAGCAAAAAATATCGTAAAACTATCGAATATTCTGAAATCTTGATTTATTTATCTCGAGCTCTATCATTGATTAGATTTGAAAATCATTTGCATTTTCATGTCATTTTGAAATGAAGGTGTCCAAGACTAAAGAGATTGCATACTAAATATCTTTATGAATATTTGAATGTACATGTATGACCCCTGGCAATATACTAGTACATTGTATGAAAAATTTGAATTGACACGGGCACAGTTGTGCGAATTAAATAAACATTCGAGATTTTTGATTATTGTAATGCTGGAAAAAATGTAATATAGAATGTAAGCAATCTACAGACAAACATATTTAAGTAATGTTTGGATAAAACGGATGAAACAAATACGATAAATATTGCTTAAAAACATCTTACTAAACAACTTATCGACTGAAAAGTTCAAGTCATTTAGATTCACAGTCTGTTGACCATATCACAACGATCAGACCAGTTAGAAGATTCGCATCATTTATCCTATATAAAGGTGCAGTCAGCTATATCGTGCAATTGAGGCTGTTCCCTGTTACGTATAAAAAGACCAACCGTACCCCCACTGTTTTCATCAATACTGTTATATGTACATGCTTAAAATTTTCTTTAAAAATTAACACTGTCAATTACAGATTTCTAAGTGCAATTTTAACAAATTAAATGAATGAAAAGAAAACATTTGAAAAATTAAGGTACTGCGCTACATTTCATCCAAAATTAAAATTTACATGTAGTCTTGTTTGAATATTTTTATTCAAAAAGTTATGTAGGCGAAATACTAACGTGAACACAGGGACAACTTATCCACTCTGTTCTCTACTTCACATATAAAAATACACGTGTATTTTTTTATGTGAAGTATAGAACAGAGTGGATAAGATGCCCCTGTGGTTGAACAGTCGAGACTTGTTCGACAACATTCGCTGCAGTTTTCAAGAGCTGTACATTGATTTAGAAAGAAATGACTATCTGCGAATTCCTTTAATTCCCTCCCCCCAAATCACAGGGCAACATTTGATGCAAAAGGAAGTTATTTCACAGCATTTCAATGCAAACGTATTTAATGCATTTTTATATACATAAATACTAGAAAATGGTAAAGGGTCATTTGAGTTTTCTGAATAATTTTCCTGCAAACATATTCATTTAAATACTTCAAATTTATATCAGACTGACATTTCATTATACAGGAGATGGTTATCCGTATTTATATCATCATTAGTATGGCGATTCTCTTATGGACAGACAGGACATGCGCTAAGACGATTCAATATTGTGTAATGCTTGATGCTGGAAGTTCTGGTACAACAGTTATAGTGTATTCATGGCCCGAGCGCAGAACTACTTCATCAATATTCAACATTACTGAAGAATTCTCCCAAAAAATAAAACCAGCATTAAGTTCATTTGAGGATGACTTAAATTCAGTTCCGCAATATATCCGAAATATAACCTCAATTGCGGAATCAAACATTCCTTTCTATGCTCAGAACAAGAGTCATATTTACCTCTTTGCAACTGCAGGTAGTCAAATTCTATCAAACACTGGCCATTTAAATAAAAATATTACTATAATCTTTCGAATAATTTTCACTACTTGTCTTTTGTGTACAGGTCTTCGATTTTTAAAAGAAGAAAAAGCCAGGAATTTAATGAGCTCCGTGCGAAGTGTTTTGTCTGATAAAAGAAACCACAAATTCAAATACAGCGAAAGAAGCGTCCGAATTATCTCTGGCGAAGAGGAAGGTGTGTTCGCTTGGATTACTGCAAACTATCATAATGGATTTCTCGCCTCTAATCAGTAAGAAGCAAACAAATGATTTACAACTGGTATTTAAAGAAGACATTCCTTCAATTCAATTTATCTAAGATATTCAGTTTGAGAAAGAATGAATAGCAAGAGTATATTTTTAGATCCCTGTCCAAAGGTGTTGGTGTGCTAGAAATGGGGGGCGGATCCACACAAATCACCTTTCTCCCAGACGGACCTCTCTTAGCTCACATGTTTACACTCCGAATAGCGGGACGAATCTACAATCTCTACTCACACAGTTATCTAAATTTTGGGATGAATTATATTCATCGAAGGATTGACGAGTATCTAATCGAACACAACCCGCGGGAGACGGATATTCATAATCCGTGTACATTGATAAGTAAGGAAGTCTAAAGATAATTAACATAATCAACTTCTGAAAATTATAGATAATTACAATCATAAACTTATCAACACACACATAAACTGGATTTCCTTTTATAAAAATAATACACTAAATCTTGGTTATAATGATTGAATTTTCTGTGATTTTGAATTTACTTCCTTTTAAGGAGGCTGGGAGGTCAACAAATTAATTACAAATTAACCACCAGATTTAACTTATATTTTAAGATATGGTATCTTAAGCTGTCAACTATCATTTGGTAAAGAAAAAATCCATACATTTTAGTTTTAAAATTTGATCATTTTTGTATATCTTTATATGGAGCTCTTCTTTTAAAGGAGATCGAAATAGTCTGAAAATGGCTGCCACCCCCAGCCTCGTTAATCGAGATTTTCTATATCCATGCATGGACTGAAGGAACACAAAGAAAAGTTCTTTAAGGCATTCATTCAAAATCCTTATATCCCAGATGAACTTATAACCGAGTTCTTTATAAACGAGTTTTACTGTATGATCGATTTTTTTCAGATGACAGTTACACATACGACGCCGGAGACAAAACAGTAACATTCCGGGGATCTGGCTCTCCTACGGAATGTTTCAGTATTTTATCAAAGTTTCTTAAGGAGGCTCACGACACTTGTTACCCAAAGCCATGCGCAATAGGTTCTATCTATCAACCATCTGTGGGTTCCGACAAATTCTACGCCATCGCTGTTTATGCCTACGTCACTACTGATCTCAATGCTACAGACTCTTCTGGAAGACTTGATATCGATAAACTAAACAAAACTGCGCATATATATTGTACCAAGGTATAAAAGCTTAACCAAATGATACATGTGTATAGCATGTAAACTTTTATAAATTAATAATTTGACTGAAACATTGCTATTAATAATATAGATCTTGTTCACAATTTTATTGAATGAAAGATATTCCAAATTACATGATTGTGTAAGTATCCAGAGAGGAAATATCTTCAAGCGGGATCACTCAATTTAAAAAAAAGTTCTGATGTGTATACCACTTAATTTTTATGGGCGATAAAGCAGTTGGGTATTTTTGGGGGGACATTATTTCAAAATACTGCAGTCGTTACAAACTGCATGTTCTAACTGTTTTTAAATTTTTCCAGACCATAGATTATGCAGTGTCCGTGTATAAGATACGTAGAGAGTTCGCCTCACGTCGGTGCATGATGGGGCTGTACATTACAGAGTTACTGACCTTTTCTTATGGATTTCCGGTCAACACCGACAGAATTTACTCGACATTGAAGATCAAAGGGAAATCATTAGGTGAGACTTTAATACCTTTATTTTGACTCTTGAAAAGTCATTTGCTTATTATGAGTAAGTTTTGAGACTTGATGTAGCCGTTTTTACACAATTTTTAAGTGCCTTATTTTGTATTTGCAGACTGGACTTTTGGAGCAGCGCTGTATGAGAATGAACTAATGGCAGAAAATTATCCTTGTCCTCCCATTTCATCCTCCATTAGTGCAGGTGTATCACAAGTCAACAAACTAGATCTACTAGAATGCCTCCTAATCCTTTTGTGTTTTCAATATTTTAATATCTAACAAAATATTGTCAATTTTATAAATATGGATTTTTTGTCATATCGTTCAGAAAATGAACGATGTATTCAGGATAATAGCATTTAATAAAATTTCTGAATATGCTTTTATTTTTATCTGCTGCCTTGATTTGTGCACTATACAAATGCAGTAAGGGTTATTTATATTAATCTTAAAAGAGAATGAGTTTTTATTGCGGGTAAAATCTTGCGTCACACCTACATAACCATATGAAATCTATGTGAGTGACATCTTGACATATTGTACAATGTTGATATATATTTTACACTTTATTTTACACTATTTTGTTATGTACGAGTATGATCATTTAGAATCGCCAAATGTTTCATGCATAAATGAGAATTCTCTTAATTTGCAAAGCGTGTAAACGGTTGAAACACAGTAAAGAATTCTTTTAGCGAAGTGCCAAGGACGAACAATTTTGTTTCAATAAACGTAATTTTTTCACCACATGGAATATAAGCGTGAATGCGTTATTCGCGTGTTCGCTATAACCATGTTTTACTGTACATGTTTGATTATTCTTGATATCCGTGATTCCTCGTGAAAAAGTTAAGTTGAATTAAAAAAAAATTTAGGTGCCTATAAGTATGGCACGCCAAATTCACAAAAATGAGCTAAACCTAGTTTCACAATTGATAAACTAGGTTTATCGACTGTAAACTATAGTTTACAAACCGTAAACTATAATTAACGATTCGTTAAGTATAGTTTTCATCTGTAAAACTATATTTAACGGTTGTTAACTATAGTTTAATCTAAGTTTATCTGTCTATAATAAAACGTTAACAATAGATTTTGTTGATAAACATAGATTCACGTCTGTAAACTATAATTTACGATGTTAACTATAGTTAAGAGTTGTAAACCATAGTTTACAAATCGTGAAACTGTATTTATCAGATAATCTATGTTTTGCGATCGCAATTGATTGTTTTTGGTGTTAAGTATAGTTTACGGTTGTGAAACATAGATTATCGCGTTAACTATGGTTTACAGACGTAAAATATAGATTAACGTTGTTAACTATAGTTAAAAGTCCGTAAACTATAGTTTACAACCGATAAACCTAGTTTATCGACTGTGAAACTATGATTAGCTCATTTTGTGAATTTGGCGTGCTAAACCTTGTTTCACAATTGATAAACTAGGTTTATCGACTGTAAACTATAGTTTACAAACCGTGAACTATAGTTTACAATTCGTTAATTACAGTTTTCATCTGTAAAACTATATGTAACGGTTGTTAACTATAGTTTACGAATGCTAATCTAAGTTTATCTGTCTGTAATAAAACGCTAACAATAGATTTTATTGATAAACATACTAATTAGATTCACGTCTGTAAACTATAATTTACGATCGTTAACTATAATTAAGAGTTGTAAACCATAGTCTACAAATCGTGAAACTGTATTTATCAGATAATCTATGTTTTGCGATCGCAAGTGATTGTTTTTGGTGTTAAGTATAGTTTACGGTTGTGAAACATAGATTATCGCGTTAACTATGATTTACAGATGTAAAATATAGATTGACGTTGTTAACTATAGTTTACAGTCAGTAAACTATAGTTTACAACCGATAAACCTAGTTTATCGACTGTGAAACTATGTTTTGCTCATTTTTGTGAATTTGGCGTGCCATATATATAAGTTCCTTCGGTGAAGTATTTTCATTAGATAACATCTTCTGAAAGCTACGATTATGACGTCACAGTGAAACTCTGTCAAGCCTTTGCGACGTCACAATAGCGACATGTCTATTATGACGTCACACATTTGATGATATGGCCAACTTACAGCCTCTAAAAAATCACATAAACTTTGTTCACAATGACCAGATTTGGTAAGTAAATTGTGTATAATTTATTAATAATAATAATAGTATGTTTATATATATATTCTTATGTATGTTTTGATTTTTAAAAAATATCTTTTATTGATTGACATTTACAATATAATACATTTTCTATGTAATCTGGATAATTCCTCCAGTTTTGTTCTACTAGATTTTCAAACCAAAAAACAAGATGTGTTTGTGAAACACTATGCGCCCGACGACAACAAAATTCCAAAAAATTATTTCTAGCAGATAGTAAATATAAAATCTCTATCTCCTTCGCTTCAAAAGTTATGGCGAAAATTCGAAAAATCTATTTTTAGTATATAGGTCAAACTCAAGGTCACAAGGTCATTGACCTTGGTGTCATTTGAAAGAACTTAATTAGCGGAGTATGCATATCAAATATGAAGTCTCTACCTGTCATGGTTCAAAAGTTATGGCGAAGGTTAAAGTTGACAACAGACAGACAGACAAACAGCTAAACATATAAACAGACAAACAGATAAACAGACAGGACAAAAACAATATACGCTTCGGATCTATCGATTAGGGCGCATAAAAAAGAGAGAGACTATGTAGATGAATTGATGTGCTTTTTGTGCATTTAATCCCATCAAAAAAGTTCACTCTAGTCACTTATCTTTCGTAATCTTAGCGAATTCTTTCATTTCTTTTTAAGATTTAATTTGAAACTTTTTACGAACTCGACAGAATCCACTTGTAGCTGTAACATCGATTCTTTCATTTCATATGCGCTTTGTATTTCTTTCCTTTTATTATTCACTTATTGATACATCTGACAATCAACCTTCTTAGATGATGACTGGACAAAGGAATAATAACCAAAGAGAGAAACTAATTCGATTTTTTTAAATATAAAATTTCGGGCTACGAATTTGGTCCAAAAATGTAAAGGTTTGTTTTCTAGAGCGAAAATAAACCTCAACGGCCGAGTTTTAAAATAAACTTTCGGGCTAAGAATTTGGCTAAAAAAATGTAAAGGTTTGTTTGCTAGAGAGAAAAAAACCTCATTGGCAAAGTTTTAAACAAAAAAGAAAATTCCGTTCTGTTCCAAACTAACATTTTTATAGCATAAAATAAACTATTTGTCTCAAATATGGTAGAAAAACATGCTTTCATATTTCAATTTTACACTGAAGGCTGGGAACTTTCCAGCAACATTATTTTCAATGTATATTTCTTTGTTCACTATCATGCACTTATTTTCTGTGTAAATGCAGAAAATATAAAACCGTTTAGTCGTTTACATTTTTGCAATCTTGCTATAAAATAAATATAAAGGTTAGATTACTTGAACGCCATTCATATAAAAAAAAAGTTAAGTTAACGGTAGATTACTTCAGTTTTTCAAAAATAAAATGAAAAACTTTTTATCGTATATTTTGGTGGATAAATTGAAATAGTTTTAATTTTAAAGACAAAAAACCAATTCTAACGTTTAATGGTTGGTTCCCAATACTTGTTAATTTTTACACATGTCTAGATCTATGAAATCTGAAAAAGATCAACTCATACAACCAAATGTTAACGGTTTGTATAAACTGTACATGAAAGATTGTTTCCTGTGCCATTTGCAATTTTCAACCTTCCATATCAATACTGTTACCTGAGCGCATCGCAACGTAACAACAACAATGTTATCTCATAAAGGAGGCAAAGTGAGAAATAGGATGCAGAATCGATTTTGAAAGGGGGAAAGAGGAAGAAAATTCAACTTACCTAAAAAACAAGAGGCCCATGGGCCACATCGCTCACCTGAACAATGTGGCTAGGAAAAAAGCAGAAATCAGTTTATTATTGAAAAGTTTAAACCCAATAGTGGTCCCAACCAATCCTTAAAAGGGAGAGGGTATGACCTGAACAAACTTGAATCTACACTAAGGATGCTTGCATATTTCTTTGACTACCTGTGGCTTTATTGCCCTTTACATTTGAACTTACATTGTGGCCCCGCCCTACCCCCCAGGGGTCAGGACTTGAACAAAATTGAATCTACACTACCTGAGAATGCCTCCATATAAATAGGACTAATCATGGCTTTGCTATTCTTGAAAAGAAGATTTTAAAAGATTTTTTCTACGTTTCTAATGTAAAACTTGGATTTGATTTTGTGGCCCGGCCCTACCCCAAGGGGTCATGATTTGAACAAAATTGAAAGTCTACTACCTGAGGATGCTTCCATAAATATATGATCATTCATGTCTTTGCTATTCTTGAGAAGTAGATTTTTAAAGAATTTCCCTATATATTTCTATGTAAAACTTTGATCGGCCATTGAAGCCCCGCCCAACCCCCAGGGGCCATGGTTCGAACAAACTTGAATCTCCACTACCTGAGGATGCTTTCATAAAAATATGATCATTCATGCCTTTGCTATTCTCGAGAAGATTTTTAAAGAATTTCCCTAGTATATATTTCAATGGAAAACTTTGATCAACCATTGTGGCCCCACCCTACCCCCAGGGGTCATGATTTGAACAAACCTGAATCTAGACTACCTGAGGAAGCTTCCATATAAATATGATCATTCATGCCTTTGCTATATTCTTTAGAAGAAGATTTTTAAAGAATTTTCATATATATTTCATTGTAAAACTTTGGCCATTATGGCCCAGCCCTACCCCTGGGGGTCATGATTTGAGCAAACCTGAATCTACACGACCTGAGGATGCTTCCCTATAAGTTTCATCCTTCCTGGCACAGTGGTTCTTGAGAAGAAGATTTTTAAAGAATTTTCGTATATATTCCTATGTAAAACTTTGATCGGCCATTGTTTATATTCCTGGCACAGTGGTAAGAACATATAATTTTCACTGATTATCTCCCCATTGTGGAATCCCCCTTACCTAAGGATACCTTTGGCTCGAAAAGAAAAGTTGAGACAACTAGAAAAGCTTTGAGCCTTTGGCTCAGGTGAGCTAAAAAGCTTTGACCCCCCCCCCTTTCAAAAAAAGGAAAAACAATCTCCAAACTCGGAGATCCTGTTTCGGTTGAGGTCGGGTTGTAGGTTACAACTTTTTTTTAAACTTAATTTGTTACTATATTACCATAACACTACACTATAATACATGAATTCGATCATGCAAGCAAAAATTGTTTTTAACCTTTGTCAATTGGCAGCTTTTAAAAATAAACTTTCTGCACATTCTATTTATTTAACTGAATAAGTATGAAGAACCTAGTTCATGTACTGAATTAACAATTCTTAAGTATTCTATCTTAAAATTAAATTGGTTGTCAGAAGCTCTGCCATTTCCAGAAGACTGTGTTAGTCATAATATCCTTTTTATAGATCAAAACCTTTGTGTTTTGGGTTTTCTGAATTCTCCCAATCTTTAGCTAAACCTTTGTTCTGAGTCCTGGGAATGCATTGTAAATACAGTGAAACCCTGTTTTTTGGTTTTTTTTTTATTTATACAAAATTTTATTCACATATTAAGTGAATGGGATTGGGCAGCAGGCGAAGCCTATTTTAGCCCTCTCCCTGTTACCCTGTTATCTCATACATCAATATCTTTAAAACCCTGGATATGTTGAAGTAATTTGGAAGTCAGAATCAATTTTCCGTTAATACATGTACATATTTCAATACAATCATCTCAAATCCTAATGCAACTTTTTTTCAGTCCCATCAAGTTTAAAATATCTAAGAATAACTGTAAATGTACAGTCAAACTTAATGATAATAAAAGAAAAAACATTTTAAAAAATCCCCCATTAGCTCTGAAATATATTCAAAAGATTACACATTATAAAACATGACTGAATTCTTCTACCAGGAAAGATCATATTAGGCATGAAATAACATCTCAGAGGAAAAAATGGCCAGAAAGATGGGGATATTTAGTGCAAGAATACAGAATTGTAAGTGTTTTTAAATCTATATATTCTATCTGGTTGTACTGAAGTAAGAAGAATTATACAAAAACAAAATTCTTGATATCAATTTATAATATACAAATTCTTTATTTTGAATTATCAATTCACGAATTTCATTGACAATCATTACAGTTGAACAGACAGCTAATGGGTCAGGAAGTGAGACCCAAATCAAATAGAGGCAGTAGATCTTCAACACCAGGTCTAAAACTCCCTCCAATCTACCCCTCACTGCGCCCAAAGGGGTTCCCAGTCACCACTTCACAACAGATTGGCTGGAAGTCTGCCAGGAAAGAATGTCAGCTGGAAATCTATGGGCGCTATGGCCCAGGGCCCAAGTCCAGGGGCCAGAATGGAATTCTGAAACTGTTGAAGTGGCCCCAGGAAGGCTCTCCTTAATTTAAATTCCATTTCGAATATTTATAAAATTTTTATGAAAAGATTTTTTTGTCCATACTTCCTGGTTTGTTTACATGTATTTAGAATATTTTATCAAAATAATCAGATTGTACAATAAGAGGAATGTGATTGAAATAGCAATTTGTGATATGTAACAATGTTATTAATCATGCAATAAAAGTTGATCAGTCACCAGCACACCCTTAGCCACTTGATTTATTTTTTTAACTGTCACACATAGCCCCGCCCCCTATCTCTCCTCCTCCTCAGAACTGTTCTCTTCACTCTCTTCATACACCGCTATGTGCCTTCTGTTGGCATTGACCACAGTTAATTCCCCTTCTTCATCTTCGTCATCACTAGGGGGCAGCATGTCAGCTGGAATTCCCTCATCTGCATTGTTCTCCTTTAGCACAAATTCTGCCGGCCTATAGAAATGGAATTGCATCATTTTATATGACATTAAAATTAATCTTAAAACTGCAGATTGAGTAAATAAAATAAAATTTTCCAAGTTTTTTTTTTAAAGCACACAGATGCAATTTATAAAACAATTTTAAGGAAATTATATCTCTTATAATGTTTTGCTTGAATTACATACTGTATATACTCGCCTATAAGTTGGTCCGCGTGTAAGTTGGTTGTATTTTATAAGCTTATATATCAGAGGGACCGACCTCATATATTACCATTCTTTTCATAGCTTTCCTGTAAGTCAAACAAAGACTTTTGGACCACAGATTAACTCCCAAAAAACGATTTATAGGCGAGTATATACGGTAATTCCAGCAAAGAAAGTGAATTAATAATTGAAATGCAAATACATGTAGTTTTAGCATACTCTGCAATGTTAAAATTTGACAGAATTCAATCACTTTTTTGAGAGTTTTCGAGGGACTAATAGTCATTAATGCTAGTAAGAGCTATCTCTCTTATCAGATGGTTAATAAACCTTAATAATTCTGAACTATTCCAGATAAATTATTCCTTGTCAGCTTACCATTTTCCCTCTTCCTGGATATACTTTATTTGCTCTTTATAAAGTATAGCTGCAATTTCTGCCTTCACCTTTTCACCTTCTTGGATCGGCTCAATAAGTACATAGTCTCCTAGATAACAAACAGAATTTTTTTAGGTCTGACAGCATCGTCTCATACTACAATCCAGAATCCACTAGGCTACTTGCTAATGTTTGATGTTAAACCCCTAGAAAAACCATTATTAACATCTGCTGCACCTTGGTTGACAATACACATGGATTTCTTAGGTGAAGATTTTCAAATTAACCCTAAACTATATACAATACTTTATGTCATATTGCAATATATTTCTATTTGTGATAACTCTTTGAAGGTTAGGTGAGTTGATTTCTTAATAATTCAACTAGAACGTAAATTTCGCCAAGTGAAAGATCAGGAGCTAAGGAAGCCTAATAGGCTAATATGCATGTGCAGCTGTCTTTGTCTTTGGCATCAATGGCGGTGACTGTTCAAATTGACATGGGAGGCCTCATGTAATTTAAATCTAGCTATCAGACAACATTTTTCAGACCTAAATTTTCAAGTTTATTTCACAATGAAATGGAAATATAAGGGATCACTGTCTAGTTTGTTGGGTATGCCGGGGACATCAAAGATAGATGGAAAAATGGGATAATTTATGCAAAACAGATTTCTCTTGTTATGCAATTATCCCAGTGGCACGTTCTAACTATCATTAATGTCTTACGCATAACAGGCTTCTAGCTTGTAACATGAGCTTTGATTGGTTACAAAGTCAGGTGTAAAATTCCATACACCTGGCTTCAGTCGGGGGTAAAAAAAATATGTCACAATGCATAGTTTCTCTATGATAAAAAGGAAATAACATGACATCACTATATACATTATAGGATGTGAGTTTTATAAGAACTCTACTACATGTAACTAGACAGTGCTTCCTTTATACATTCAACAACACACAATAAATTTCTTTCTCATGCAACAACATCAGCAACAACATGCAACACTTACAGCCAGTATAGAAGAGGATTGTATATTTTGGTAATTAAATGGTAATTAATTTCATCATTACATGTTTCTTTCTGATCTTATTATTAATATCCAATATCATGAATATGTGAAATTTTCATTATTAAGTGATAAATATAATAAAAATTACTTTTAATATAGTTTTTAACATTAAGAAAAGGTATTAAAGTGTGCAAGAACAAACTAGACAGAAGATAAATACCTCTTTTGATCCAGACATTTTTCCTGAATCGTGTTGGCATGCTGACAAGGAAACGCTCATTTTGGGCAGTTTCTACTTCATGCAAGTTATTTCCCCTGCCAGCTGTCACCTGTAAAATATTATATCATTATTTTATTTCTGTTCTATATTTTTTGCAATTATGTATTATATCAATTTAGTAAAAATTTAAACAGTGCCCCCCTCCCCTAGTAACTGAGAACTGAGGTCATCTTCAAATAAAAAAAAGTTTGCCAGTCCCCTCTTGACTCAAAATAAGAAAAAAATCTGGTAGGTAGGGTGATAAATATGATGTTAAAATAGTTATTATTCAGATGAGAAAAGTTTGAATTAAAAAAAAAAATCTGAAGGTTAAAATGACCTTCGAGTTGGGTCCCTTTTAAATTGTCAGTGGGTAGGGGAAGGCAAACAAACAAGTTTTAAAGATTGCCTGAGTGACTCAAATTTAAAAGCTGAATGTGTCGTAGAACATACCCTGACAATTTGTTGATCTTCTGTTGGCAGAACAAACTCATCTAGGACTTCCTTTGTGACATGTTTTCTCTTTGTGGCTTTAGACATCTTAATAACTCATCTGAAATTTCATCACATTTGCATCATCATTTTGACAAAATCCAATCTTATCCTACCAAATATTGTATAGGTAGGAACAAAGTACATGTATTTCTTTTTTATTTCTTTATATTTCTTCTTTTTATGAATTTTTCCTGATTCGTCTATGCATAAAGACTAAGTGTATAAATAGCACTGATGTGTTAAATATCAACAAGTATGACATATTAATCACATATGGGATATATGAATACAAATAATGATTTTTACATATCAACATGTTCAAAGAACATGTCAAAAAACAGTTGTCAGAGGAATTTCGAGTTAAAAGCATTTAATAGAGTGTTTTTCTTTACTCTGTCTCTACCGTACAATACCTTAAAACTGGAATCGACGATAGGAAGATTTCAATCCAAGTATCAAACCAATGATTACAATTTTTCTGTCACAGTCAGTCGTGTGGCGAAATTCGAGTGTAATTTACACGAGATCGGAAATATATTTGAATCCCGAGCTCGATTTTATTACCATAGGGATTAGAAAGGGGGGGGGGGTTAATAATAATATCATATCAGGATTTTTACATAAATTCTGCTTATTTTGCTGAGAGTTTCAAATTATTTGTGAAAGATATTTTAAGTAACTCGAGAGAAAATACGATTTTCAATACAATTACATGTACTGGTCTACATAAATCACGTATTTTAAAAATCTTACATGTACATATAGCAGAATTAATGGTGGCATATTTCTTTTGCATGTGAAAGTAATTTATCTTGCATTTAGGGTAGGGATGTCAAAATATTTATTTTCCTTAGTCGAACATGTTGCATTATTGAGAGTTTCAAATTACTTTCATCGATAGCATTTTCATAAATCAAAAACCCTTTTCGTAAATTTATGTAAAAAGTAACATCAAATGCCTATACTGTGTGTTAAGGCACCGATATTCAGACGAACCTTAAGTTGGGATAAGATGTAGAAGTTAAATATAGATTTACACAGCAATTGATTCTCCAAAATGTATTAATTTCGTAAATCACATTCAAAAATTGGTCTGTACATTCTTTCGTTCTAGTACGCTTATAGAATTGTCAGCAGTGTTTTCAAAGCTTATTTAAAATAAATTGGAAAGGGGGAGGATATTACTGTTCTAATAATTATCGAAGTTTCAAAACTTCACGGTTGTGCTGTGTTCCTATTGTATAATCTAAATATTCAAAAAGGTAATGAATAAATTTATATTTGGTACAAGTCCAATTAATAATTTTCAAAGTCCAATAAAGCGCTGCATCATTTACTATAATAACAAAAAGGTCAGTAATTACGAAATAATTATCGCGGTATGTTTTACTGTTATTTCCATGTAAACAATGTGGAGATTATTTAAATAGTTTGACTTTGTTTAAGCTCTTATTTGTCTGAGGACGTATACTATTAATGGTTGAGGAATGACGCTTTACAATTTTGAGTTGAAAATTCTTAAACACCTCCTTTTTTTGCATTAATTTTATTAAATATTCGAATGTCGTTTTATTTGATCGTCGGTCCATTCGACTGAAAGTCGAATAGTCGACTATTCGTTGACATCCCTGTAATTTAGGGGCATAAATATGCCACCATATAAATTGCTTTAAAATTGTTGCATTTACAGTAGATAAGCAATCATGATAACAGCAGTAAATTTAGGATAAAGAGGTTGAAAGTTCCACTAAAAATTAACCTAAAGATGAATCCTGAATATTTCTGTAGATGACAGTCTGGGATATGCGACAGTTTTATTACACGTGTTATCATGTGTTATAGGTATACATTTCCACTTACAACTACAAGTACAATGATGTCGAAATAAATGTGTGCTGTAAATAATGATATAAAAAAGAAAAAAAAATGTTTGACATCGACGCATGTTCTTCTCGACATATTCGACTAGAATTAATACAGATATTTTCAGTAAATATAAGAATTAAGACTGTTATAGTCAAGAATGGGAAATAAAGACACGATCTAGCTAAGATCATTCAAAAAATACCTGAAAAAACCCCAATACCTGCCAGTCATCAAAGTGCATTATATGGTTAATTCATGCAAGTTATTGTATATATAATAATTTTTAAATTTTCAATCTGTCTTCAAATACCTTTAAAAAAGTACCAAATCATCATGATGTTCACTATTAAATAAAAAATGTTTTAATTCGCGTTTAAAACAGAAATTCCTTTGTTGTTGCGAGTTACAATGTAGTTGATATCAGGTCTCTTAATGGCTCACCAGATTCATTACCGAATTTCTTACTAAGACCATTTAAATTGATTGGCCACCTTAACGTGCATTGCATACAGTTTATTGGAATGCAGTGCAGTGTATTTCAATACATTAAAGTGCAGTAATTTTTAATATATGAAAAATTAATTTGCCTGCCAAAAAAAGATATTTATATATGTATTCATTTTCCTGGAGCATTCTATTTAAAAATAATACCCTCTCCCCTCTTTTCACTGGAAATTTTACGGGGAAACACTGGGGCTGGTGGGTCTGTCTGTGTTAACCCTGGTGAAGAATTTTATACAACTACTATTCAGAACAGGTGCTAGTAAACTGATCATTCTCAGCCAGATGTTAGAGTGTCAAGGTCACAGAGCGAGCTGGACAGAGTCGGAACCATACCTGGAATGAAATCATTATTATTACTGCTGGCGATCACAGTCCAAGTGTGGACACAAGTTCCCAAAGGTAAAACATACAATGGATTTTTAATAATATTACAAAACAAAATCCATCTAATATCAAAGGAAGTATAAATTCTTTGAGAGATGATAACATTAAGAGAAAATATTTCTTCTAATGGAATTTATATCATTTGTCATCACCCAACGGCTGATTAACTCAAGAATAAAATTTCAACGAATGAAAATCATTTCTTTACGTAAAGGTGGCATATCAAACAAGTGCTATTGATATCATGATAAAATTTTATCTTCAATGAATAGAGATAGCAGTTTATAAATAGAATATTAGGGCTATTATTTGTTACGTCCAATCACACATGTGTATGTCAACATGCTTTAATATTTTTATTGCTAGATAGGAATAATTGGTTTTATCAAGATTTTTTTTTGCCTTTCCAACTTGTTGCACAAAATATCTTGGTTGGATTATGTCTAATCAGGAAAAAATACAAAAAGTAGCTGAAGACAACCAATGTACAATTTTTTTTGTAAACATGACGAATGGATACATGTGCAGTATCATAAAATTCTCTATATTTAAGACCATTTTTTTTATTTTCGAAACAACCAGGTAAGTAGGTCAAATTTTTGAACTCTTCATGGAGTATACTCTTTATGCTAGGATGTGATGATCCAAGGTCACGTGAGCCTGAAAAAAAAAGAAAAAAAAATACCTCTAATTGATGCACAATATGAAAACTATAATTTAAGACCATCTCATGCTTTGATCGAATAATTATTTTTTCCAGGATTTTTCACTTATAAATAATTTTGCGAAAATATTCAGTTTTGGAAAAGAAACAAAGTTCCATTTATTTATTTTTTTTTCTTTACACAGGATGTAGGTCTAAGCTTGATATCGTGATCCTGCTGGACGCCTCCTACAGCGAAGGGCAGGTAAACTTCAACAAACTATTGCAATTTGTGGAGAATTTTGTTAACCAATTCAATATAGGACCCGACTCTACCCAGATCAGCGTAGTCCCGTTTGCCACGTCAGTATACAACGCCTTCTCCTTAAATACACACTCAACCAAATCAAGTCTGATCAGCGCCATTCGAAACATACCTTACAAACCGGGGACAACGTACATAGACAAGGCTCTCACGTATGTGGAAACTTCCTCATTCTTGCCTCGAAATGGAGGAAGATCTGATGCCGAAAAATTAGTTTTCCTTTTGACATATGGCCATTGGTCCAATCAAGCTAAAACCACGTATGTATTTTTTGAAAAAAAAAAATGAAATTATTATTAAAACGGCCTTACGTGATAAATTTTCATTTTTCTCCTCTTCAAACGCATATCATTCAAATAAGGTTATATCAAATCTAAAGTGTTTAAAAATAATCTATTTCTTGGAGCATAAACCTTATTTCAAGCTTGGTTTTGATTGCAGATCCGAAGCCCAACGATTGCACTTTTCTGGTGTTGAGGTTTTTGCTGTTGGTATTGGTAGATATGTTTCTAATTTTGAGCTAGAATCCATTGCTAGCGATTATACCAATGTGTTCCAAGTACAGACTTTCGATGAGCTGGACACCATCCAAAGTCAACTGACCAACGCGGCATGTCAACAGGCGGCCTTACGTAAGCTCTTTGTTGACTCAAAGTTCTTGAAGTAAAAGCTCTATTTTGTCACCAACACAGTTTTTTTAAAGGAAAAATAATAAGTATTTTATGTTTACATGTACCTCAATATTCTTTTAAATTCAGATTGTCAATCAACAGTTGCAGACATTGTGTTTGCCTTAGACTCTTCTTCCAGTTTTTCAACCATAGACTATTCCAAACAGTTGCTTTTCATCAAACACCTTATAAGACAATACGACGTGGGATCAAATGAAACCCAATTTAGTGTAGTGTCTTTTGACTCAAGAGTCCATGTGGAATTCCCATTGAATAGCTATAAATCGAAAACACAAGTTCTTGGGGCCATTTCTAATATCACGTATCATTATGCCTATGGATCGACAAACGCTAGTGAGGCTCTAAAATACATCGCCAGCAACAGCTTTACGTCCACCAATGGCGGTCGAGCAGGAGTAGAACGCTGGGTTATTGTTATCACAGACGGAACATATTCATATTCACCAGCTCCCGCAACATCCGCAACATCGGCCGCAACAGATAAACTTCATAAAATGGGGGTTGGGGTCATTTCCATTGGCGTAGGAAGCCGAAGCAACATGGAGGAGTTGCAAGCTTTGGCTACTGACCCACATCATGTTTTTAAATTGGACACTTACGATGATCTTTTCTCAGTGATGACAAACATAGAATCAAGAACTTGTGATTTTAATGGTATTTTTATGTTCATTCACATTTTCAACTAAGGCATTTAATTTTGATGGCATGTCAAATTACCATACTAGAGCATATGTTTTCAATTTTGTTTCTTTTTTTATTTGCGTTATAGCTTGCCATGGTAATAAGGCAGATATTGTGTTTCTTCTGGATTCCTCTGCTAGTGAAGGAAGCGACAATTTTAATTACCAACTTCAGTTTCTTCAAAACTTAACTTTAAAGTTTGACATCGGACCTGAAGCTCTTCAGATCGCTCTGGCAACATTTTCCACCAAACCATATGGTCATTTTTGGCTTGATACATACCAAAATAAAACAGATCTTATGAATGCCATCGGCAACATCCCATACATTCCTGGAAGCACATACACCGACCTTGGTCTAAAGTTTGCGCTGGTAAGTCCAATGGATCCTTTTTGTATCTTGTAAATGGAAGAGAAATCAAAAACTGATATTATAGTTCATTTCAGAATGAAAGTTTCAGTTCTGCCAATGGAGCTCGAGATGAAAGCATACCTAAGATATTGGTAGTATTAACAGACGGACAATCTACCGATCCAATGGCGACAGCTTTAATGGCTGACCGTCTGCACCAACAGGATATCAGGGTCATCACCATAGGAATCGGACAGCGCGTGCGCAGATCTGAGCTGACTGTTATTGCAACAGACAAATACCACGTGTTCACTGTTAGTGATTTTAAATCCCTCGCATCCGTTCAAAAGGATTTACAAATTGAAATCTGTAGAAGTGAGACATACTATTGAAAGATCTATTATGATGGTTTTATGAAATTCCTGTGTATATGATATGAAACATAAGACGTCTGACATTCCCTCTTTTACTTACAGATGAAGAACCAAGTACAGGCAAGTTCTATTAGTTTTCATTTGTATGCTTTATATACTTTATATATTAAGCATTTACATATGGAAAAAAAGAAGAAAGTAGTTCACTGAAATGAAGAGTTTTGAGCGATTTACTGATAGGGTAGTTTCTTTGTCGCGAAATGTTTCACTTTATTTTTATGAAGTTTAGTCGTCCGTCCGTCCGTCCGTCTGTACGTCCGTCCGTCCGTCCGTCCGTCCGTCTGTCCGTCCGTCTGTTAGGATCCGCAACTCCTCTCATACCACTGAATGAAATTTGATGAAACTTTCACAGAATCTTTATTACATGTTGCCATTGTATTTTACTTTTTGATCCGACACATAGTCCCGGCCACAGGAAAACTGCTAAAAATAAGAAAGCACTCTGATATGTTTTTTGAAGTTTTCAGGACATTAGTAAAGATAAATTTCCCTGTTTTAGATCAAGTAACTGCTAAAAATAAGAAAGCACCTGATATGTTTTTGCAGTTTCCAAACTATCGAAGTATTTATCTTGCACCAAGTCAACATTTAATATGATACATACATGTATTTTATGTAAAATATCATCTACTGATAAAAAAAAATTGGTTTTAAAGTAATTAAACATAGTCCACTATTGCCGAAAAATGGTAAAATGTCCTTCGATAGATGCAAAGTTAGTAAAATCAATCAATTTAAGTAAATTATCGTTGGATTTACTTGAGATGTGGTTGCTATAGTGATCTGTACCTTTGTTCATTGTTATTAGAGTGCGGCGATAAGGAAGCGGACATTGTTTTCATTCTGGACGATTCCGGAACTGAGGGTGCCAGCAATTTCAAGAAGGAATTAAACTTCACCGCTGATTTCATGAAAGGATTTCAAATTGGAAAACAGCATGTTCAATTTGGTCTGGTGACATATTCGAGTTACGCAAGAAACCAGTTTTATTTCAACACATACCATGACTTGCAGTCCATTTTACACAAACTAGATACTATTACTTACATTGGTGGAACCACACGTACAGAATATGGTCTTTCAAGTGCCAGGTACCAATTTCAATCATATCATGGAGCAAGACTTCACGCTCAGAAAATCGTCATCATCCTGAGGAATGGGATGTCTTATTCCACTACTAGGACGATTGAGAAGGCTAACGAAATGAAAGCTCTTGGTGTAAAAGTGATTTCGGTTGGTATTGGTAAAAACGTCAGTCATATGGAATTAAATGGAATTGCCACCGACTTACAACATGCGTTCACTGCTGCAGACTTTGATGCTCTTCCGTCTCTGCTATTCAAGATTAAATCTGCTGCATGTTCTGGTAGGTTTATTTACCCCAATGGGTTTCCACTTTGTGAGAATTATTTTCAAATACTAGTATGCAATATTGTAAAAAAGCAAATTTTTTTTCTTGCAGTTCCTAATCCCCGTGTTATTGACCAAGGTAAATTAAATAAGTTTTCTAGAACTATGTACTGGTATATGTATCTTAATTATTTTTAATTATAAAGTCAGAGGAGTTTTTTTCCCCACCATTTCAACTTCTTTTATTGTATATGTATTAAATATTCTTTATTATTAAATAAACAAAAAATATACTTAAGCTGTTCAGAAATTATGTTTGATCACTTTCATTATTCCTCACAATATGATTTATTTTAGGTTAAAAGAAGAGTAAGGGGATCCTCTAAAAGATTTTTTTTCTGTTTTAGAGTGTGGAGAACGAGATATTGTTTTCTTTCTCGACTCTTCAAGGAGCAAGAGAAAAATCAACTTCAATAAGATGCTCACATTCGTTCAGAACTTCACCAAAAAGTTTGATATTGGCCCACAGAATGTTCAGGTTGGAGTGGTTACATTTTCTACCTCTGTGCACGAAAGAATCAAGCTTGACCAATACAGGTACGTGTTGATAGTATAAATCAGCTTAAATGCTAGAAAATCTCAATGCATTGTCATAAGCTTGAGGGTAATGGGTAAAGTTGATAATTTCCAAAAACGTTTATGAACTAGCTGTTATTCTGACACTTAAAAGCCAGGGCCCGTCTTAGAAAAAAACTTACTGCTTAAAACAATATCTAATTTTGATTATTACTTTCTAATTTACATTTAATTAAAAATGGTTTTATGTTTTTTTAAGGATTACATAAACTGAGTACATAGTTTTATGCTAGAGATATCAAACAGACTATCTAATTTTGCAAAGTTTTACAATCAACTAAAGTTTTTGGTCTTAGTCGTAAAATGTTTTGTAAAACGGGCCCCTGGTTATAGGTAGAAGTTAAAATCAATTTTTTCAAACTGTAGTGATAAAACAGCCTTACTAGCGGCGATCTCTGGGATTTATTACGATGGAGGAGGACTATACACAGACAAGGCTTTACAGTACGCCAGAACACAGGCCTTCCTGCCTTCCCACGGTGGTAGACCTAACGCCAGCAGGATCGTGGTCGTCATGACGGATGGGCTTTCATTCACGTATTTACAGAAATATTCACTCAAATAATTTTAATCATAATATCATGTTTTTAACTGCTTGTATACATTAAATCATGTATTTTAGTTGAAACCAATGCTTACAATTCCTTTCTACCCTATACACAAATCGTATGATGAGCCAGTTCGTACCTCTGTTTTCCCCCATGTATTATGTTTTTTTTATATTAATTATGTTTCTTTTGCACACAAAATTTAGCGAAGACAAATTGCAATGGAATACTATTTCATTGCTCATCAAATATATTTTCATATAATTTCAAATAACCGCGTAGAACTGCGTTATCACAGGTTTACAGGTGCTTTTATTCCTGTATTTTATTACTTAAAACTGTTCTGCAAAATATATTGTCCTATTAAATGAATCATATTTTGAAATGTATTTAAAAGTACAATTTAATATTTTCATCATTTACCCAATTTTCCAGAGGATGAAGCGAATGACAAAACTGTCTGTTCATTGTAATAAATGCATTAATGCTTTTTGATGGAAAATCTTAAGTATTTGAAAATCCCTATCAGTGACAAAACTTTTTCTATCTACATCTTTTTAGTCATGCGAAAACTCTACAAGAAGCTGCAGCCTTGAAATCCCAACCGAATATGAAGGTGATTGCCATTGGCATTGGACCTAGCGTCAACCAACAAGAAATAAACAGCATAGGCAGTGATTCTCAGCACGTTTTCTATGTTCCTAACTTTGACGTTTTGAACAAGCTTAACTCGGAGCTTGAGTTCACTTCGTGTCAGAGTGAGTATCATTTACTGTATTTCTTCCCAGCCTGGAATGAATAAGAGGGTAGCTGAGAGTAACCTTTTCATTTTCAGCATGTGGTTTCATTCAGACAGCTGACATCATCTTTGCACTGGATTCCTCCAGTAGAATAGGACTGATCAACCTACAGAAGGAGATGGACTTCGTGCAGTCGTTTGTGAGAGATCTTCCAGTAGGTCCTCACAACGTACAGTTCAGCGTTGTCTCATTTGGCTCAGTCGTTCAAAATATATTCTACCTGAACCAGTACTCACAAAAGAGACCCATTTTAGATGCAGTTCAACAGACGGACTTTGTCGGGGGTTCGACTCAGACATCAAAAGTGTTGAAGTATATCAGGGAGCACAATATTCTTCCGGTGAATGGGGCGCGTTCGAACTCTTCACTTCTTGTTGTTGTTCTCGCAGAAAGCACGTCAACAAACAAAAGCGCCACATTGATGGAAGCTAATTTGCTAAAGGCCTATGGGGCAACTGTTGTCGCAATTGGAATTGGGTCGAATGTTGATAATACCGAACTTAATTCTATTGCTTCAGATCCTAACCATGTTTTCAAAGCTCAAAATTTTGACACGTTGCAGAATATCAAAGAAGATATTAAAAAGGTTGCCTGTGAGAGTAAGATGTTTAATATTCTAAACTCATATTTTAAACTGATATATTGTAAAAGAGTGTAGGTTTTAAGAATACTTTCATTTGGACCACTGTAGTGTTTTTGGTACTATTTAAAGTTTTAGTGTCACTACTCTTTTATGAGTGGAATGGGAACGTATATGTAACACTTTAACAGAAAACGATATTCAAACTCGGGATAGGTTTTTAGCATAAACGATTGCATAAAAGTGAGGATATTTTGACATATAGAGATAGCTTTATATTTTTAATATGGCATTGTAATTTACTGTTAGGAATACTGCAGATATACTTTAAATATTACTGGTACTTTGTAAATAAATTAATATTCCAACCATTTCACTCACTTAATTTTTTACAGGTGTTAATTTAGATGTTAATTCTACAATGCCGACAGTGCAAGGTTTGCTACTTTATTTACTTCCTTTTCATAAAATCATCTTACTTGTGTATGAATTCAGAAACAAATGTATGAAAATAAATGCTCATTAGTATAACGTTTTAATTTTATTTCTTTGGCAGATGTTACAAGAAAGAGGGTTTTAACCATTGACGATTAGTTAATGTACGAACCTTTATAAAGACTTTTTTGTAAGTTGATATTTTAATAAAATATAGACCTCTCGTGTTTTCTACTGAATGTTACAGTTTACTAATCAGATGTTTGTAAAAGCTTTTCAATATGCTCACATTCAAAATGGACAAAAATACACTAACAATGATTAAAAAGCAACCCCTCCATCTCTTTTGAATGAATAAAACTTAGACTTGCAATTAAAGTGTGAGTGTGAGAAACAAGTGCAAGAACCTAAATTCCGAGAGAATGAATTCAGGGTTAGGGTTAAGGTTAGGGTTGGGTTAGGGTTTAGGTTAGGGTTAGATGTTGGGTTAGGGTTTAGGCTAAGGTTAGGGTTAAGCTTGGGGTTAGGGTTAGAATGCAAGAGCATGTTCTGATTACAGCTGTAGAAAATACTTGTACAGTAATCCAAATGTCTCAAATAGTTAAAGATCTATGAAATAAAATTTTGATGTGGCATTCCTCCTTCAATATCAATTATTCTCTGATATTAAAGTGAACATGGATCTCTTGTTTGTGACTTTCGCTTTAGAAGGATGGTTTCCTATACAAAATAAAAACAAAATACTAAGAACTAGTCCAGAAAACTTAAAATTAATTTCATTGATTATCTGTAGAATCCCCTTATTCTCTCTGTAAGACAATTGACTATTCTGTTACACGTTGAATGTAAGCTAAGTGGCACATGAGCAGCAAAGCTTCTTATGTCTATCAACTTATTAGCTACTCAAGAGCTTGCCCTGAGTACGATCAGTTTTTGAAGCGAGGCAGGCTACTCACTGATAAGTTGATGTTACCGGGATTTCAACAAACTTGTTTAAACTCGACAATTCGTAAATTCTTTGATATAATGACCTTGCTAGCCAATATCACCTAGGCCTTTGTTTTTATACTGAACTTGACTACGGAATGATCTGTCCACCTGATCAATTCAAAGGGCTCACGGGGGTGTTGCCTACTCATTTCGGGCACCTGATCCCAACTTTGAAATTTCAACCGTGAACGGCTCCCTGTCTTATACCCGCTTCACTTCACATATTTGTATCTTTTAAAATAGATTTTTGACCAATCACTGTTTCTTCACCTTTTAGACCCCAAAAGACCTTGCTGATCCATCTTCGACTCCTGTTGCAAAAAATAAGACTTGTAACAGATCATACATGCACAGGACAGTTTATAAACTGTGAAATCTATAAAATACACACGTAATGTTTCTTTAGGGACCATTAAACACTTATTATCGGTTACATAACATCGTTTATTGGAATTGTTTTTTCGATTAAATTATTTAGCTTTGGGATACTTATTAAGTATGATCACAGGATATGCAGTACGGTTTTTAAAGATGCAACCAGGATCTATGCTGATGTTCCTTGATCATTGTTTTTCGTAAGACTCATCCGAGTAAGTTCCATGTTTTGTTCTAATTTAACAGAACATTATTTTTAAAACAGTATAAAGTAACCTTTAGTTCGACGTCTTATCCATATCATTCTACAAAAGAAGAAAGACTGATATAAAGCAACAAAATCAAATCGAACAAAAACATGTACGACATACATGTTTCGATACTGGGAGGGATGGAGGATAGTCCATATCAGCAATGTAGCAGCGAACTTCGAAAGACAAAAACACCCCAAAATCTACCTTATTGGTAGCATGGATTCAAAATATGAACAACTAATACCTATGACATCTATACTGCATTCATAACAAATACACGCGTTTTCCCCTAACTTTAATAAATATATTTTTACCTTTGTCATATTCATCTCAACCGAACTTTCACAGAGGCAAATAATGAATGAAGCGAAAATTAAAATAACCGTATTTCGAAAAATAATAATATAATTTAAAAAAATGCATCGGTTATTACGAATGCATTACATTAGCAAAGCACATTTTTTCTTTCGTCCTTTTCCGTCCATTCCTCGAGAACAGGTGTTGATAATCTGGTCATTCTCAGCCAGGTGGTGGCGCCATAAGTACAAAGTTAGAACACCTAGTCACAGAACGGAAGACACTTTAGGAATGAGACTAGCATTACTGCTGTTGGCGCTTACAGCCGGGGTTTGGACTCAGGTACCAACAGGTAAATTATCTTACATCAAATTCTGTTATTCCTCATGTGTCCAGTAAATATATTATCAGTAAGACACTAAAAGGTTTTCCAATGCCGGAGGAGAAGAAGTCTACATTTATAAGGATTTCTTAATAATATCACTTTGTAATTTTTATTGTAAAATGAAAATAATTTCCTTTCATAGTACCAGTGCGTGCCCAATATGCTTAGTGTCAGTAGATTACAGAATTGCTTGATCTCCTTAGCAGGAAACTAACACGTGTACTTCTCTGAGTATATTTTATGCTGTGTAACTTTATCACCAAGTCAATATCGTAACACATACATTTTTTGAGCTTCTTAAATAAAAATTTCAAATGTAATTATTCCATTTTTGGCACAAGAATACCAGAAGTTTTATCTTCCGGAGATTCTTATCATGTTCAAGTAATGTCCTTGAATTACATAATTCATACACCTAGAATATCAGCATTTGTTCAAGTTTAGTTCTAATGCGTGTATTTTCTGATGCATTCAAGGCCCTTAGAAACTTGCGTGGACAGAAGGGAAAGGGAGCCTTCTTTCTAACAATTTTACTAATGCATGCCATACAGTAGAGATAAAGTTAATTTACAGTTGTGACCATTATTCCCTTATAAATAACATTTGTTGGTCTTTTCTTCTTGTTAAAGAAAATCTGGTTAGATTTCCTAATCAAGGAATAAGTTGTCCCCTCCCCAAACTGAGATTGCCACATAAGGGCCTGCATCCTTTGAATAAAAAGGTCTCATGGCTTTTGTGACTGGGAATACTTAATAACGCCTTGGTACCTGGTTCCACGACTGGTGGGTCCAGGGCTCTGTTTCTGCTCTGCCCAATTTGAAATGTTTAAAAGGTAGATCGCGGGTTTACTGTCTGCCTGAAAACATACTCTGAAAATTTGTCAACTTAATCCTCTCGTTTCAAATTTTACTTTCTGAAATTTTTATGAGATTCGTCTGCGTGGTTATATTGTTATCGTATTTCAAAGGCACTAATGTTGATGAGAACTGGTGACGCTATTACAATGAAATATATAGTAAATGAGCCTTTCTCACTGGTAAACACATTTCAAAACCATGCTTTTAATATGAAAACGGCGCAGACGAATTTTATTTTACTCAACACGATGAATGTGAGATAAATTTAGAATCGATCTATTAAAAAAAATTAGTATGTGTTCTCGCTCATTTTCTCGCAAAAAAACTTTAAAGTTTTAAAAATTTGTAACAAACGTATATAATTTCATTAAGACGTTATATAACGTTAGTGCGACGTCATTATTTATGTACGACTCAAAATCACAATGTAATGAACAATTCACTGAAAATAAAAATTGTTGTATCTTCATTGATTGACAATAAATACATGTAAACATTGTCATAATTTACCTAAATTGTCACACTTTTTTCAATGAAGCACAGAGTCATGTTATTTGAATCAATTTTGACCTTTCATGTTCTAACTTTATATTAACTCTTAGTTTAATTTATTATTGATTAGATATTAATTAATCATTTATTTTTTATTGCATTATTAAATAAATATTTTTACAGACAAAACAAGCTTTAATGTTTGTTTTATTTTATGATGCACACTGATGGAAATACTTTTTGCTTGTTTGTAGTTTGATACTGTAAATGTAGTAAGCTTTTTACGTCGAATCCTATTATGACGTCAGCGAACCCGCGATCTTTAAAATTCCGTCACATTTTCTTGCTTTTCTAGAAATTATAAAACAATAACTTTTTAAATAAGGAAATGTTTGTTTGATTACGCTTTTGATGTATTGAAGGTAATTCTGCATCATCGATGTTCTTTAATTTATTTGTTGTTTAAGCTAAAGATTCAAATTGTGATGATTTGAAAAGGAATATAGACATTCACATCACTCGTATATGATTTTAGATGCTATCCGGACAGATTTTCAAAATTCTAAGACCTAAAAATGTTTATGTACATGTACAGTACTCCAAAAATATCCCCAATGATAACAAGACTACATACATCTTTACGGATGGACAGTATGGATAAAAACATGCATCTTTCAAACCACATCCGCATTAAACTGCACTCTTTTTTCATTTAAAATTAATATCATGGTGATTGGTTCCGTTATTTATTTCTTCAGGATGTAAATCTAAATTGGACATAGTGTTTCTACTGGACGCCTCCTACAGTGAAGGGCAGACCAACTTCAACAAACAACTAAAATTCGTCGAAGATTTCGTCAATCAATTCAGTGTAGGACCTGATGCCACCCAGATCAGCGTGGTCACGTTTGCCACAACAGTACACAATGCGTTTTCTTTAAATGCACATTCAACGAAACCAAGCGTGATCAGTGCTATTCAAAGCGTGTCATACCGACCCGGAGCCACGTATACCGATAAGGCCCTCAGCTACGCGGAGACCACCTCATTTCTACCTCAAAATGGAGGAAGGGCTGACGCGGAAAAGATTGTCATCGTACTTACGGATGGCCAATCATCAAGTCATTCAAAAACACTGTATGTTATATACGTAAATCTTAAATACACTGACTACTTCAAATGACCGTTTTTTAAGAGGTTTCTAAAAAATATATATTGAGATTGAAAGTATAGGGAAACCTGTCTAATCCGACGAGCACTAGCAAATGATTTTTTTTCGGAATAGACAGGGTGTTGGATTGCACAATGTAAAAACATGGGAACTAGATTTTACTTCGGAATTCACAGTGTGACGATGATGGATTGCACTGGTTTCGGATTAGACAGTTTTCACTGTATATTGATTGATTCAATTTTAGGCATAATGAATCCATGCCTTTTGTTTCTGACCCATATATAAACTTTAACTATCGCTTATTAGGTATATAACATTCTCCGAAGGCTTATCAT